CAGACGTGGGTTGCTCAGCTTTAGCACTAGTGAGTTTCAGTTGGGTTCTTTTTTGAGGGGGAGGGCTGTCCTCTGCATCACATTATCTTTTACAGTACCCCTCTCCTCTACCCACTAGATGCCAATAGTAAGCCCCACCCCACTCCTCAAGTTAGACAATCAAAACCATCTCTACCCAGCTAAATGTCCCTGGCTGGAGGGTGGGGGTAGAGAGGTGGCGGTAGTAAAAAGAATTGTCCAGGTTGAGAACCACTGTTTTGTATTATGTTACTGAGGTGAGCCTCGGGGGTGAGGGTGGGTGGGGAAACACAGTAGAGAGTAAAAGAAAAGAGAGAGGAGGAGCAAAGCAGAAAACTTCTGGAAATAACTTTCTGGAGATGGTCATTAGAAAGCACTTGATTACAACATCAATTTTCTATTAACACAGATTATGGTGATAAGAACTGGGCTCAGAGGTCCATTCTGCATCATACCATCCAAAATGCTACCCAGCACAGAGATTACTTACCTCAACACAAGGAAGACAATGTTTGGCAGAGACTGCTGTAAAATAAGAACAGAATCTATAAGCTGAGTTAATAAAAAGGTTTGTTTATGATCAAGTCACATTCATTTATTTATCATGATAAAATACATGACATCCACTGTTTCCATTAGAACCAGAAGATACAAAACGTTCTAAAGCAATGTTTCTGGAGCACATTCACAGTACATTAGGTGAAAGGTTTTCACTATACAATGCAGTCTTGATTTTACTGTTATTTAATATGTGTTGCTTGAATTTTACAGACATCTTCATTGTATCTTTTCTCTTGGCATTTTTGTATCCCAAATTTCTTTTAAAGTATTTTGAGTTGTTATTTACTCTAATCTGACAAAATCACTTTGACATAAAACAGAGGCATTGGTGACAGTTAATGTCAGTTCCATCTGAAGTGGTAGTTACTAAGTAATCAAGTGTGGCACAGATACATACTGAAGAAAGTGGATTTTTCTAAGTCTTGAAGATAAAAATCAGTTTGTAATTCCATGTAAAACATCCAGACTTGGGGATTGTGTAACCTCATCAGTTTTCAAAAAGACCACCCACACAAACACTGAACTACATCAGAAAATCATCATTTAGAAAATCTACTCTTAAAATTTTTAAAATTAATAATAATAAAATACCATAGAGCTCCATTTAGTTTAAAACATACAAAGACACAAGGGACAGTATAAGAACTCTTAATGTGGCCTGTTTTTACCTCAATTACTATTTTTAAAAACCTAATACTTATAAAGGGTTTGACTTATAATATGAAGGCTGTTCCTGTGCACATAACTTTTAATGGAATTATACATTTTCCAAGATGAATGTCATTTCCCTGTTTTAAAGTGAACCCTTTTTCAATACTATTTTAAAATAACATAATAAATTACTGTTATCCCTGCTCTCCTTCCCATCCCATCCACTGTTCAGATAACCAAGATGAAAAACTAAAAATATTTCTTCATTATTTTTTATCCTTTTTTATAAGTACACAATATGCTCAAGGGATGTTTCCATGAAGCTGAAATTGACAAGGTTTTTATCCCTAATAATCAAAGAATTACTATAATCTTTCCTGAAGGCTAAAGAGAAACACCGATTATTAAGCAGATTAAGCAATCTGACAACGGAATTCTAACAATACTGCTGTTTCTAGGGTACTTAACAAAAAGTCAAAATAAGTTTTGCCAAGTAGTTATTGATTATTAAATAGTGCATGGGCTGCTTCTAAGATGTTTCTAGAATTTATAAGTTAGAATACTTAAGTGAATTGCGTTAGCTACAGAATAAATGTAGTTTGGTTTTATCAACAATAACTTAGAGAACTTAATACAGTTTTAATACAAAGCCTCACAACACCCCTGTGAGGTAGGTATTTCTTATATCTACTTTACAAATCTGGGATCAGAAAGTCAGAGCATGTATGACAAAATCAAGAGTCAAGAATTTTTGGTTTTCTTGTAAGGCAGATTACACTCATACTGAGTTCTGACAATGTGTTAAAAAGAACAAATACTCAGTCTGTTTTCCTCCAGGAAAAAAAACTTTGTTTTTTTTTTCTACAAAGTAGGAAAAATTTTAAGTTGATCCAAAGGGAAAATGTCTGTTTAGCATATGCTTGATACATTGATGAAAGTGCATATAGAATTTCTAGTTTTACAAGTTTGGTAATCACTATGCAAACCACAGTATATTATTAGGATACTGGCTAAGATTATAACTCCATTTTCTAGACGATTTAGCCCAAACCAAGGAGTTTAGCTGGAAGAATTTCATTTACTCAAAGTAGATTTTCTCACTGAGGAATCTTATCTTAAAAATATATACTCTGGACACAGTGTTAAGCATGTGAAAGTCATTTTATAAATACCCGTCAAATAAGTGAAAAACAAAACAAACTGGGGCCAGTCCCCATACCCCTACCACTTGCTCTCTGGAACCCAGCTTTTGGCTTTTTTTGGTAAAATTAAGTTAATATTTTTCTACTTTCTAAAATAGAGTGTTACACAGATTAAAGAAAGAGCATTTGTTTTGAATTCCTAAAATGAAAAGGAATCATATGAATAAGAATAAAAATACAACTAATCACTCTTTTCTTAACTGTCAACAACATCGATATACTACTGCTTGATATTAGTGTTGCTTCTAACCTTAGGGTTAGCAGTTTGAAACTACCAGCTGTTCCACAGGAGAAAGATGTGGCTTTCTGCTCCTGTAAGGATTTACAGCCTCGAAAATCATGGGAAACAACATGTCAGGACTTCATCCAGTCTTAAACTACACCAATCATGGAAAACTCTTAGCATTTCTGTAGACTCTGTCCTGAGTTACTGCCTAGCATGCACCCTAATTCCCACCCATTAGCCACATACTTCCCTTGTCAGGGACCAGTCACTGGGCAAGTAGGAAAACATAGAAGAGAAAAACCAGGAAAATTGTTATCTTAATGAGAGCGATAAAGTTTTACTTGAAAGTGGCTAGTGAGTTTATCCTGAATGACGTGAAGCATACATGAAATCAGTGTTAATATCTGTGTACTCAGATTTTGAAGATTTCTTCACTGTATACATTTTTGTCATCCAAGTTTCTTTTCAAGTACTTTGAGTTGATATTTAATCTAATCTGACTAAATCACTTCAGTACAAACCAGAGGCATTGGTGACAGTTCATGTCACCATCTGGAGTGATAGTCACTATGTAATCAAGTGTGGCATAGATACAAACGAGATGAAATCTTGGAGGATACTATGAGTTAGAGTAATTGTTGAGATGGTTTGGTAGGAAAAAGTTTAAGATTGGATGAACTCCTGACACATGTGTCTTAGTTACCTCAACACAACTGATTCTATATCCATAGCTAGTTAGATTTGCTCTCCACACACATCAATCTTGATGCTAGAAGGCTTTGCTCACTTGTCTAAGGCGGAAACTCAGCTGCTAACTCATTCACATCACTGTAACTCACTGACGCTCATTGTTGACCCAAAGAACACCTTTGCTTCCCCAGAATTAGCTGAATGACTCTTGGTGGGCACTCCTGTCTGAACACTGGTGCTGTTGAGCATGTCAGGAAACGTCCTCAGAAAGTCAGGAGTGCTCTCAAAGAGTTTTCATATGTGGTTAAAATTTAAGCCTCACAAACCAAATGTATTTGATTTATTTAATGATTTGGGAGACTGGCGAGGCGCTCTAAGACAAGCACTAGACTAAAAAGTCCATTTTAACTGCAAGGTTGGCGGTTCAAACTCACCAGCTGCTCCTTGGAAACATTATACAGGGTGGCTATGAGTCAGAACTGACTTGGCAGCACTTAACAACAACAGAGGTGCTTTGGGGGCCTTTTCTTTTGTTAGTCTTGACTATCCAGTATTCGACATTTTAAAACTTCAGGAACAATTTCTAGCCATTCTTTGTGGTAGAGTTTGACCAGCCATTTCCCAGAAACATGGAGAATGAGAATCTATCATTTATTCTGTCAACTTTACTTTTTCTGGTGTTCTAGCGTTGTGACTTTCACCATTATAAAAGGGAGTTGAGTTTATTCACAGAGGGAAACCTATGATCATGGCTTTTAAACATATTTCTATAACAATGAATATATCCGTTCTGCTGGTTTTAGAGCCAGAAACAAGTGAAAACTGTGCCACTGAAAAATTAACTTTTCAAGCGATTTTTAGAAAATTAGTATCAACCCAGGCTGCCTTAAAAATCCTCTGACACTGAGGATAAAAAGATGATTTATAGTTTACCATTTGCCTCTTTAAGCACATGTAAACCTCTGGTTATAAAAATCTCAAATTGCTTTAAGCTCTTTATAAAACACTCTAGATTAAGATACCAAGGCTAGGATGTTAGTCAGCACAGGCGAGCAGAATCTCCCTCTCTCTGCGCTTATCTGTGTCTGTGTATCCTGTTTTGCTCTTTACATTTTTTTTTTTTTTTTATGTCTTTCTGACTCTTTTCCCTTTCTTTTAACTAAAATATTTTTTTTCATTAAAAATGAGGTATGCACAATATTAAGAAAAATGTCATAAAAGATGTTACAGAGTTAGTAACTGAAAATTTTAAAGAGATGCATAATTTGGTATGTATTAAAATAACTATTAACTTTCTAAATGGCAGATAATATTTTGAAATAATCCTTTACAGGGACTTAATTCATGTGAAACAGTCAAAAGTGGTAATCTGAAATGTTCTTTAAAACAGATTTCATTTACTTCAATTTCAGCTACTGACTGAAATAACATAGAAATTCTATACAGTTATTCATTCTGAAGTTTTCCTATTTCTACATTAACTTCTGATTTCTAAATTGTGATATAATTTAAGGAAACTTTATAGCCCTAATTGAAGGTTACATCTTAATACTCATGTATTCATAAATATGTCATAATAAGAAGACTTAATATATACAGCCCTAAAACAATGGACAAATTGATAAAAGAGGGAAAAAAGTCAATAGAATTTAAGGAAAATAATTTATGAATAAAAATATACTAGTGGACTTTCTTTTTCAGAATTGGTATAGAAATTCTGAAGCTGCTATTCAACCAGGATAGTGTCCACATTTTCTTGTGTGAGCTCTGCCTCTAAGGCACAAGATGAATCTAAGTGTTCTTGCGACAAGCGAGAACTTTTCAGGGGAATAGCAGACCAGCTGTCACAATACGGCTGATATCGCTGGGCCAACGTATTACCAAACCTTTGGCATCGGTTATATCTGTAAGATTTACCTTTGTGTGTATACATGTGCTCCAGCAATTGACTCTTGCGGAGAAATTTATGACCACAGATGGTACAGCTGATTTTTCTTTTCCTTGAAAAAGAGAAATTGCAGTTTAATTCCACTGGCTCTGTGTCTTTGGAGATTAAAGACACTTGACTGATCTGCAAAGGCTCTGTGGTGCCCCGGGTTGAGTGGTCAGGCTGCTGTTCATTCTCCTTGACTATGAAGGAGCTGAGCCTTCGAGGGCATTCGAGGGCCTCGTTACTTTCACTGAGTGGATGTACTTCACCAAGGTCATTACTTTCCAGAATGGAGGCTGGGACACCAAATGGGAGGGATCCAGAGACATGTGTATGGAGGTGTTGTCTTAGGTTATTACGGGAATCAAAACGTTCCCCACAGTAATGGCATAAGTGTATTTTGATACTGTTTTCGGTGACATTGGGGCCAGTCACCTCTGACGAGGGTGAGGTGTGACTCTGGGAGATCACGGATTCTGCGTCACATCTCTCCTGTTTGATCGACACTGGGGGCTTCGGGTGTTCCTCCAAGGCCTGGGCCGCAGGATGGGCCCTCTGCTGGTCTGCAGTGCCATCATCCAGCCCAATGGCAAGCGAGAGCTGCAGCTGGCGGTGGTCGCTCTGGGGCGCAGCTCTGTTTCCATTGTTACTGGAAGGAGTTTCTTTGACCTCGAGCCCTTGTTTGACAGCTGCTTTTTGGGTTGTTGAGATCTGAATACCATATAGATTTGAGGACTGCGCAGTCTCTGGGGAGAACACTTGATTCATCTCAGTGGCAATATGAGAAAGGTAGTCGGCATGAAGAAATCGAATCCCTTCCTCCAAGCGACTATGATCCACAATCTGTTTTGGCCCTTTCCCTGTGTACATAATGTGCAACAGATAGCTGAATATGTCGGGCTGGATGTCAGTTGGTTGTATTTTTATGCATTCACTGTTAAAAACAAAAAACAGACCCACACAAAATGAAACAGGATCTAGTTGGCTTTTTCCTTAACATACTTGTATATAGTATTGGACTAAAGCAATTCTTTCTAAAGAAGTTCAAATTTAGCAATCTACCTTGATGAAACACAGGAATAAAAGCTTCAACATTTATTTTATGCAGTTTATGGCCCACTGACAACTCTTCCAGCATTCAATCTACTGTTAGGAATTTAACAGAAAGTTAAAAAAAAACAAACACAACAGATTTTGATTAGTTCAATATTTATCAAGTGCTTGCTAAATGACACTGTAGCACTGTAATATCAGCACTAGACTACTAATCACAAGGTTGGTGATTCAAAACCACCAGTCACTCCTCGGAAACCCCTATACAGGGTCACTAAGAGTCAGAACAGACTCCATAGCACTTAATAGTAACACACTAACTGCCAGGGGATAGCAAAATGAATAAATAGGTAACCTGCTCCTAAGGAAACTGGTAATATTTAGAATTTAAAATATTCATGTTATTTTGGCTTCCAAAATATATTGATATATCTATTCTTGAAACCACAAATGAATGCAGCTGTAACTTTAAAAATTTCTAAAATAATACCAAGCCTAATTTATAATATAAATCTAGAATTCAGGTAATAGGTGAGAATGACCATGCAGCAAGAACTCTGAACAATTAGGACAGAGACCATCTGAGGCAAGAACAGTGGGGCTGGGTGCTGGGGAGGGCAATACAAGAAGTGGGGAGGAGGCAGAAGAACAAGATAGCTAGGGGAACACTGAGAAAGGTTTGCCTGGCCTAGTGAGACAGAGGTAAATAGTGTTGCATGCTCAACCTTGGAACAACAGGGCTCTGGGGTACAGGGATCTAGGTATAGCTTGAAGAGGGGAAATAATACTAAAATGCTTGACTGTCTTATGAATATTAGTTTCCCTTGGCTACTATTGTAAAATAGACACTTGAGTGGGATAGAAAAGAATGTTGGGAAACACGATTAGAGAAAACTTGTAAACCCGTCTTCAGCCTACAACTGATTGGAAAACCTAAAAGGGGTTCTAGAACTTGCCCAGTGAAATAGGTCTCGTGTAAAGACTTTTACAGAGTACAGGACCTCAGGTGGAATCCTGAGTCCCTTCCACAACCTTATGAGGTCAGACATTCCCACTAGAAAGAACAAGCAGACCAGCCTGGAACAGCTAGAGTGACAGACAATACATCTTCAAAGAAAGACCATCAGGAAAAACCCAAAACAAAAATGTCAGCATGACTGGCTATTACAAGAATAAGCAGACTGTTTGCCAAGAAGACATCAAGGCTAGCAATCAAGTTCCTTCAGGACAAACCCCACTCTAAGACTGAAACTCAAACAGAACACATGAGCAGGCATGTAAGCTTGCAGGCGACCACATTGGTCTGCTGGTGAGTGGAAGAGGGGGAAAGGCAGCTATGAAGAAATGGGCTGAGTTCAACCAAGGTCCATAGAGTCCTGTTAACCTGGAGATGAGAGAGAGAGAAGAGGAAGGACTGGTTGGTCCAAAGTGTGGTGAGACCTGAGGACACTTGAGTCCATGGACAAGGATATAGCCACAGAGGGTTAGAGCTGAGAGTGAAGCATCCAGCTAATATGAAATGAGGAGAGATGCACAAGAACACCCAATCTTGCAGATAGTACCCATTAGACCTAGCCTCCTTGGCTCAATAATCAGAACTCAACTAGAGGAAGATTACAAAGAAAAAAAAAAATGTTGTTGTTGTTGTTAAAGGAAACAAGGGTAAATTGCAACAATTTTATGAACCTGACCTATACTCAGAAAGGTAGTTACTCTAAATACCAATAGATAGGGAAGGAGCCTTCACATCAAGTATCAATGCTATCCCCTCTGTACACAGGGTAGATAGGGATGGGCAACTTAGACATTGCCTTCCTAAAATGAGGGGGCGATAAAGGCATGAAGTGATTGGCTTACAAGGTTTCAGGAGGGAGTTTAGTTTAAGAGTATGGGGGGGAAAGAAAGAGTCCCCACTGAATAGATTTCATCTTGTCTAGATGAGTCTGGTAAAAAGAGATGGGGATAAGATTCGTATGATTCAATAGTGAATAATTGTTATCCTGACTAACTGCGACTGTCACAATTGTAAAGGTAGAAGTTTTCTAACAAAAACAGGGGAGTAGTTAATCTTACAGTCCAGAAACAGAGGACCCTAGGACTATCAAGGGAGATGAGCACAAGCAGAATGCGGGCCCTTATCCAGAGAAGCAGCGACACCAGAGACGGAGGCAGAGATGGGGGCATGGAGTGGGGGAGCGGCTGAGGACTCTAGATTCATGGGAAGAGAGGGACTGAGAGCTGGTGGTCAGGAGGCAGACTTGCAGAATGTGCCCTTTGGAGGTGTAAATTATTATATATGCCTGAGTGGGTTTGTTTCTTTTTAAATGCTATGTTAACTGATGGTACAAGGAAAGGATTATAACGATTGTAATGAAACAAGGTATATGATTTGTTGAATGTAAAACTCATGATCTGCCCTGTAAACTTTCACTCAATCCACAATAAAAACCTTAAATAATAATAATTAAAAAGATAATGGAATTCTTACATGAACTTTTTTAAGCCTCCTTGCATTTCTAATAGCAGTGTTACTGTTAAGTCCCTTCGAGTTCCAACTAGTAGCGACCCTGTATAGAGTTTCCAAGGCTTTTTAGATTATTGTGGGTGCAGAAAGCCTCAAACTGAGGACATTGTGGTTCGCAGTCCAGTGTTTATTGTATGGAGCCCACCTGTTCCCCAATATGGTGTAGGTAGTCTGCATTATACTGACAGGTCAGAGAGGAAACTCTGGCATGGCAGAAAAAGCTTCTACCCTCACCCTACTCTCTGGGTCACACATTCCAAGCATGTTGGTCTACTCAGTTTCCTGAATGCTGTCCCGGTTTATCTGTGTGTAGGTTTTCATGCATTTCCTTCCTCCATCTTCTGTGCATCTTCTTGTCTTCTACAACACCTGGAACACCTGGCCTAATCCTTCAAGTTGTCTAAATAGGACTGCTAACACCATAGTCTACCTTGTACACACTTCTGTTATAGCTCATATTGTTTATTAACAATAGCATCAGCTAATAGTCCCAAGTTTGTTTTTAAGTGTTTAAATTATTAGTAAAATAATCTTCACAATATTTTACAGACAAGGAAACTGAGGCACGGAGAGGTCAATTGCATTGCAATGATTTGTTTTACATATATTACCTCTGGAGTCCTGGTGTGGTGCTGCAAGATAATGTGCTGGACCACAAGGTCACTTTGAGCTGGAAGGTCAGTGGTTCAAACCCACCAGCCACTCTTCAGAAACCCTAGACAGGGTCACTATGAATAACAACCACTAAACAATGAATTTCTTGAGGGCAGAGAGTATGACTTATTTGTTACTGGGACCTAGCACAGGGCCTGTTGTAGTTGTTGTTGTTAAGTGCCTTTGAATCGGTTCTGACTCATAGTGACACCCAAAGGGTGATTGGTGAGTTTGAACCGCCAACCTTGTGGTTCAGACTGACTTTGTGGTCCAATGCTTTATTCCACAGCGTCACACCAGGGCTGGGCCTAGCACTTCAAAAAGCCCAAACCCAAACCCACTGCCCTTTGAGGCGCTCCTGACTCATAGCAACTCTATAGGTCAGAATGGAACTGCTCCGCAGGGTTTCCAAGGCTTAACTCTTTACAGAAGCAGATTGCCTCATCTTTCTCCTATAGAGAGGCTGGTGGGCTCAAACTGCTGATCTTTTAGTTCACAGCCAGGCATTTTAACCACTGCGCTACCAGGGTTCCTGCCCAGCACTTAATTATTTAATATTTTAATAGATGAACAATACAAAATAATGTGTAACAGAGGCTGGATCCCTAATTATTTCATTAAATCCTTTTAAAGAAACAGTGTTCTGTTGCTTTTAACCCTGTATATATTAAAACGTTCTTTTCCTAAAGTTCAGGATCAGAGATGCACTTTCCTACACTCTCTATACACCTATCATGTTGGGGTAACCCAGTTTCTAATAATCAAATACAAAATGTTTTGAGAAAATATTTTAAGCAAAATGGCTTTAGAACTCTACTATGGATCAGAATTGACTCGACGGCACTGACCAACAACAATGGACTATAAAGCGGCTAGATTATGCCACTGAAACCTGGCTACAGACGTTTTAAGGAATAGAAGTTTAAACAAAATGATTAAAACAGATCATTAGATTCAAACATTCTGCGTTTGAGTCCAACTTACTATCTCTACAACCCTGGATGGGCAAGTGACTGAACTCAGACTCACTTTCCTTTTCTCTCTAACAGGGTTAAGAGTAGTAGTGACATTAAAGGATACATATTCAGTGCTTGGGTATAAATCTTTAATACAGTTAGCTTTCGTATCTTCCACTGTGGATCCTATATACTACACTGAGATGTTTAATTACAGATGTGCTAAGATGAATTATAATTTTTAAATTATTTCTTACAGAGACCCTTAACAACAAAAAAATCTACAAAATGAGTTATTTACAATGGGCTCAAACATATCACAGTATTAACAATTCTCTTAATTTACACAAACACATCTTTACCTTGTTTGGTGAATAAATATCATCTTGAAATAGTTAGAAAAAGCAGCAAGCACTGCTCTGTGGGCTTTGAAGTAAACATCTCCAATAGCAACTGTGCAATCACACAGAAAGCCAAATTCTCGCTGCATGTTCAGTTGCTGTAGGAGGACAAGACTGTGGTTGGCAGCGTCCATTGCGCTCTGTGGAAAAGGACAAGAGAAGAGAAAGGTTCACAAAGACCTATGAAGTAGCAAGAAGACCCAAATTTAATTGTAATTATTCAATAGTTTTCAATACTGTTAATTTTGTCTCAACCTAGTTAATGTTAATATTCCTATGACCACAATTGATGTAAACTTTGCCACCCATAAAATAAGACCGTTCTTAACCTGGTAAGCAGGAGCTTGGTATGATAGACACAGGAACACAAGAAAGGGCTGTCCTTTCCTAGCTATGTAACTACTGTGTTTCTGTTTCCTCACTGGAAAGCTAGGATGAGATACTGATCCCTACAGCGGAGTTGGAATGAGATTACTTACATGAAGAGTACATTTTAAACTTGGAAACTACTATTTAAATGTCAGCTATAAATGCTAAAATTGTCACAGGGTGTCCTGGCTTGATTAGAGCTGTCACTACTCCCTAGGAACACTGGCCTCCCAACTATCATAGAATGTTTAGGGAACTTACAAGTAATAGTACTTTCAGGAGTCCTTAAACTAGATACAAAGTTACACCCCCTGATTTACGATGGGCCTGGAACCTCCCAGGGGAGAACCTAAACTCTAATCTTAACTGGATTTAAATACAAACAAAAGTTCGCAAGAAGTAGAATGCAATATGGGGTAACTGGATTTAAGGGGGAAGAATCATGAATAAAGAACAACATGCAAATGAACTCTGGTCAGAGGCCCAGTGTGAGCAGCAAGACAAGGGCATTCAAAAGGGCCATGGTTCCAGAAAGGTGGGAAGCTGTACTTTAACCCTGTGGCGTGAGACTGGAGAACCTCCTTTGAAAGAACAGATCCTGAAAAGAGGAGACTTCCTTATTTGCCAGAGAGACCAAAGTGTAAGGATGTCAGCTGTGGGGTGGTGGGGTCAGCTGTCTAGAGATGAGCAGTCACTTGGGCAGCCAACAACTGAGTGATCAATTGCATAGTAAAAATAGCTAATACTTTATTGTTGTTGTTGTTGTTAAGTGCTTTATAGCACTTACTAATCTATCTGTCAAGGAGTCCCAGTGACTCAGTGCTTAAGTCTTCGGCTTGTTAACCCACCAGCCTCTCCATGGAAGAAAGATGTCGTAGTCTGCTTCCGTAATGATTACAGCCTGGAAGCCCTATGAGGCAGCTCTAGTCTATCCCTCAGAATGGCTAAGTCGAAATCAACTTCATGGCAGTGAGTGTATGGGATGTATCAGGCACTGTTCATTCACTTACCTCTTAATACAGCCCAACATGGAAGAGAGTATTAAATGTTTTTTACAGATGAAGAAACGGTATCAGCACAGGTAAGTAATTTATCCAAGGTGACACTGCAGAACAGGGTGATTCACACCCAGGCACTCCTGCTCCAGAGCCAAATTTCCTCCCTCCCCTTCTGCCAGAGGGAACATGACCTTATACTCACAAACTAGAAGGGCCTACACAGCAGTCGGGTTACAAATAAAGGCTCCTCCAGCCTCCCCGCCCCCAGGGAAACCTCAGGAATATTTGTAAAGAAGAATCAGGGTGAAATTTGGGGTTCCTGCTGGCTAAGCAAAAGTGAGACAGCAAAACATTCATGCTTATTAGTGAGTGAAGGTTAGAATAATTGGTAAAGATCACTGCAATTATTACTGATAAGCATTGAATGTATTTTTATTAAAACTACATATTTAATGTATTGATTTTCCTAATCTCCAAGACATATGATTAAGAGAAAAAAACAAAGTGGAAAATTGTATAGAGAAGACTACAATTTATACAAAATTTATATAAAAGGAATGGCATTGTTATTTTTATACATAAATGTATCATTGTTTATGTTTCAAAGAAACCAGTAAAATGTTCACTTCTGGGAAGAAATCTTCTGGGAGGAGTAGGGGGTCAAGAGTTGGTGGGAATTACAGCATTTGGGCTTTTAAAACCTTTTTTTTTGAAGTTTAATATAAATATATACCATTTTCTCCCTCTTCACTTTTAAAATTATGAGCTATTTCAGATACAAAATAGATACAGAAATGAATATAACAAACACTTATCCACCTACTACTGATTACATAGTGCAGACCCCTTAGCATCTCTCCCTCATTCTAGTCCCCTGACAATCACCATGTTGAATTTGGTTTCTGCATATACATACATCCCTAATCAAAGTATAGTACTACTCTGCATGCTTAACAATTTTATATAAATAGTACTGGACTTCAGGAATCTTGCAACTTGCTTTTTTAAAAAAAACTTTACATTCATGCGTTACTTTTAAGGACCCAAAAATTTCAAACATAATAGCTTCCCCATTCCTCCGTCAATGAAAAGCAAAGCAAAACTTTTACCCTTACCATCTCATTTTAAAAGCTTTTAGAGAAGAAATAATAAGGTAACAGAATTTACCTTATTAAACAAAATGTACTAAAAATATAAACAAAAATCCAATTGCAGCTCCAAGAGTGTCACTGTTTATTGTATTTACCATATTTCTCTGATTCTAACACTATTAATTTACAGGGAGATTAAAAACAAAACTCTGTATCAGAAATTTCAGTATACAAAAAAAAAGTGTGCCTTAGAATCAATGAAATAGCTAAAACTGAAGTATCTTAAATTAGCCTTAAAAATTGTCTCAAAAACAAACAAAAAACCCTCAGAACATACACATTTTCATCAGACCTTCCTATACATAGTAATGCATTGCATAACGAACCAATGAACCTTATGGAAATGAGAAACAGCAGTCTAAATAAGTCATAAATTTAAAAAGTCCTGTGGTTGATGGTTAATGGTCTATGAATAATATTGATTCTTCACTTATTCAACAAACATTTTGAAAGATAAATTTACTAAAGAATAAAATATTTAAAAGCATGCCTAGTACAAGGCACAAGAATAGGAAGAACAAAATAAACTAGACATAGATCTTAGTTATGGTACTCAAGAAGATTATAAATTAATGCTGTTGTTATGTGCCGTGGAGTCGGTTCCAACTCATAGTGACCCTGTACAGGGTTTCAGTGGCTGTAAATTTTTATGGGAGCAGAAAGCCTCGTCGTTCTCCCATGGAACAGCTGGTTTTCGAACTGCTGACTGTGAGGTTAGTAGCCCGATTCGTAACCACTACGTTACCATAGCTCTTTTATAAGTTAATGGTGGTGGTGGTGATGTGCCGTGGAGTCAGTTCTGACTCATAGCGACCCTGTTCAGGGTTTCCAAGGCTGTAAATCTTCACAGGAGCAGTAAGCCTCATCTTTCTCCTATGGAACAGCTGGTAGTTTCAAACTGCAGCCTGATTCGTAACCACTATGCAACCAGAGCTCCTTTTATATAAGTTAAGTAAAAAAGTGTTAAGTGCCATAAAAGCAGCTCAGTAAATATGCTGAGGGGGTAAAATAAATAACAGGCAAACTCACTGCAACATAGGGCATTTGCAACGACTTAGATGAACAAGCAGACGATAAACATATCTATCTTTCAGGTAGCCTCGAAACACTGCCCAGTTCTGCACCATCCTCACAATTGTTAAGTTGGAGTACACTGTTGCTGCCACCACATCAATCCATCTCACTAGGAATCTCCCTCTTTTTCACTGATCCTCCACTTTAACAAGCATGATGTCCTACTCCAGGGACTGGTCCCTCCTGGCAACACGCCCAAAGCACTAGAAACAAATTCTTTTCATCCTTACTTCCAAGGTGCATTCTGGCTATACTTTTTCCAGGACAGATTTGTTTGCTCTTCCAGCAGTCCTCGATATTCTTCACCAACACCATAATTCAAATTCATCAATTATTCTATGTTCTTCCTTATTCATTGTCCAACTTTCACATGCATATGAGGTGATTAAAAATACCATCGCATGGGTTAAGCGCACTTTAGTCCTCAAACTGACATCTTTGCTCTTTAAAACTTTAAATAGGTCATATGCAACAGATTAGCCTAATGTAAAACTTACTTTTATTTCTTTATTGCTGCTTCCTGAGTGTTAATTGTGGATCCAAACAAAACGAAGTCTTTGACAACTTCAGTCCCTTCTCCATTTATCATGATGTTATCTATTGATTCAGTTGTGAGGATTTTCATTTTCTTTGCATTGAGGTGCAATCCATATTGACCACTATAGTCTTTGGTCTTCATCAGTATTTTAAAGACCTCTTCACTTCCAGCAAGCAAGGTTGTATCCTGCATATCAAGAGTTGTTAATGAGTCTTCCTCTGACCCTGAAGTCAGGTTCATCAGTTTGTCTGATCATTTGCTCAGCATACAGACTGAATAAGTATGGTGGAAGGATACAACCCTGATTTACACTTTTCCTGATTTTAAATCATTCAGTATCCCCTTCTTCTGTTTGAACTACTGCGTCTTGGTCTGGGTTCAGGTTCCTCAAAACACAATTAAATGTTCTGGAATATGCATTCCTTACATTGTTATCCATACTTCGTTATGATCCACAAAGTCAAATGTCTTTGCATAGCCAATGAAAAATCTTTTTTGTATTCTCTGCATTCAGCCAAGACCCATCTGAAATCAGCAATGATATCCCTCATTCAGCATCCTCTTCTGAATCCAACTTGAATTTCTGGCAGCTCCCTGTTGATGTACTTCTGCAATCATTTTTGAATTATCTTCAGCAAAATTTTATTTGCATGTAACATTAATGATATTGTCCAGTGATTTTCACATTCCATTTCTTTGGAGTGAGTAGAAATATGGATCTCTTCCCATCGGTTTACAAATTTCTTGGCATAGACAAGTGAGCTTGCTGAAACTTCAATTTGCATTATATCAACTCCTGAAGCCTCGTTTTCATCAGTGCAGCTTGGAGCTCTTCCTTCAATATCACTTTTTGATCATATGGTACCCCCTGAAATGGCTGAAATTCAGGCAGTTCTTTTTGGTACAACTCTGAGGAGTCCTTCCATCTCCTCCTTCTTCTTTTTTTTATGTTTTTATTGTGAATTGAGTGATAGTTTACATAAGAGAATATTGATTTTACACCATCGTTTCATTGCAATGATTACACACTCCTCCGTGTATCATTCAGCAATATTTGCTTCTATTCCCTATGGTTGTTTTTGTTTGTTTTTGTTTTGGCGGGGTGGGGATATACACAAAAACACTCAGGAATGCATAATAATTTAAACAACCAAAGGACACATTCTGCAAGCCTGCCACCTGGCCACCAGCACTCAGTCCTCCTCTTTCCATGAGACTAGAGTCCTCAGCTGCTCTGCCTCTCCATGTTCTCATCTCTGCCTCCATCTTTGGTGTCACTGCTTCTCTGGATGTTGTTGTTGTTAAGTGCCATCAAGTCGGTTCTGACCCATAGCGACCCTGAACAGGGTTTCCGGGGCTGTAAATCTTTACAGGAGCAGAAAGCCTCATCTTTCTCCCACGGAGCAGCTGGTAGTTTCGAACTGCTGAACTTGCGGTTCTCAGTCCCGCATTTCACTCGTGCTCTTCTCCATTGATGGTCTTAGGGTCCTCTGTTCTGGAATGTAAGAGTAACTACTACCCTGTTTTTGTTACAAAACTTCTACCTTTACAGTTGTGACAGTCACAATTGTCATGATAACAATTACTCACTATTGAATCATAAGAATCTTATCCCCATCGCTTTTCACCAGACCCATCTAGAAAAGATGAAAACTATTCAGTGAGGACTCTACCTTCCCTCACACACTCTGAAACTAAACTCCGTCTTGAAACCTTGTAAGCCAGTCACTTCGTGCCTTTATTGCCCCCTCATTTTAGGTAGTCAGTGTCTATGTTGCCCATCCCTAACTACCCTGTATACAGAGGAGATAGGGTTGATACTTGGACATCAGAGTACTTGACCCTAGATGGAGTACCTATGTATTTATTATCTATGCTCAGGGCAATCAAGCCAAAAGTAGTTCATGGAGGTCCTTGATGGAGCTAGTTTCAGTGTCTGTTCGGACCACTGGGAAGCTGGAGGCAGGATGACTGGTTAAATGCTGGTCTATGGATTCTGTATGTCTAGAGCATATCCTTTCTGAATCCAAAGTAGTAAAGCCCACCTCCACCTCACACTAGCATGGCTCCCAAACATGTGCTTCCAAACTCTCCCTTCCATCTTCTTTTGATTCTTCCCGCGTCATTCAATAGTTTGCTCATGGAATCCTTCAATATTGCAATCTGAGTGAGGCTTGAATTATTCTTCACTTCTTTCAGCTTGAGAAATGGTAAGCATGTCCTTACCTTTTGGTTTTCTAATTCCAGGTCTTTGCACATTTCGTTTTAATACTTATCTTTTTGAGATGCCTTTTGCAATTTTCTGTTCGGCTCTTTTATTTCAACATTTCTTCCAGTTGATTTAGTTTCTTTACAATCAAGAGCAAGTTTCAGTCTCTTCTGACATTCATTTTGGTCTTTTCTGTCTTTTACGTGACCTTTTGTTCTCTTCCTGTATGATGTTCTTGATGTCATCCCACAACTCCTCTGGTCTTTGGTCATTAGTGTCAATACATCAAATCTGTTCTTGGGATAATCTCTAAATTCAGATGGGCTATAATCCAGGTCATATTTTGGCTCCTGTGGACTTGTTTTAATATTTTTCAGCTTCAGCCTGAACTTGCATGTAAGTAATTGATGGTCTGTTCCACAGTCAGTCCCTGATCTTGTTTTGGCTAATAATATTGAGATCCCCACCATCTCTTTCCACAGATGTAGTCAATTTGATTCCTTTGTTTTCCATCTGGTGAGGTTCACATATATAGTCACCATTTATGTTGTTAAAAAAAAAAGTATTTGCAATGAGTTAAGTCATTGGTTTTGCAAAATTTTATCTCAGCAAGTCACAGATCTTGCAAAATTCTATCATGTGATCTCCAGCATCATTTCTATCACCAAGGTCATATTTTTCAACTACCTGTCCTTCTTTTGTTTTCAATTTTTGTATGCTAGTCACCATTAGTTATCAATACATCTTGATTGCATGTTTGATCCATTTCAGACAAAAAAGGCTGATGAATTCTTCAATTTCATCATCATTGGCTTTAGCAGCTGGTGTGTCAACTTGAATAATAGTGATATTAATTGGTCTTCCTTGTTGGTGTATGGATATTATCCTATCACATCCAGCACTGTGCTTTGAAATAGATCTTCAGATCCTTTTTTACAATAAATATGATGCCATTCCTCTTCAATTGTCATTCCTAGCATAGAAAACATGACTATCTGATTCAAAATGGCCAAGACCTGTCCATTTCAGCTTACTAATACCTAGGATATTGGTCTCTATGCATTCTATTTCATTTTCAATATTCCTAGCTTCATACTTCCTACACTCCCAGTATTAATAGAAGCTTGCAGCTGTTTCTCATTTTGAATTGTGTCCTATCAGCAACTGAAAGTTCCAAAAGTAAAGACTCCATCCACATCATTAAGGTTAACTCTACTTTGAGGAGGCAGCTCTTCATCAGTTGTATTTTGAGTGCCTTCCAACCTGAGAGGCTCATCTTTGGGCACTGTATCTGACAGCGTCCCAATGCTATTCATAAGTGGTTAACCATTCAGAAGTGGTATGCTTCTCCTGCATTCTAGTCTTAGTCTGGAAGCTCTGCTGAATCTACCTGTCCACCATGGGTGACCCTTCTAGTACTTAAAATACTGGTAGTATAGTTTGCAGCTTCACAGCAACACACTAGCCACCACAGTACAACACAGATGAGTGATGGAGCTTTGCTCTACTGTTGTTGTTAAGGGTCATCGAATCAGTTCCAACTCATATTGACCCTGTATATGGTTTCCGAGGAGCGGCTGGTGGGTTTGAACTGCCAACCTTGTGGTTGTAGTCCAGTGCTTATCCTACGGCACTACATCAGGACTCCATGGAATATCCTTTTTCAAACCATTTCAGTTGACTGGCTACTCTTAGTAAATCTCATGTTATATTAGACGTTATTATGAGGATTACTACATTCTAACTGGAAAACCACTGAGAATGCTGACCCAGTCAAGTTGACGCAAAACCTTAATCATTACAGCCATAAAAGAAAAGCACAGATAAAATAGGGCACTGAGGAAACTGCAGATCAGAGGGAGATTTTTAGGGAGTGGAGTTTACGAAGTAAAGCTAAAGGGGATGCAATCAAAGCATTAGGGCCTTCAAAGAGTTCATGTGAAAACTCCATTAGGCCTTGAAAAAAAAAAAAAGAAAGAAAGAAACCTGGAGTAGTAATTTCTAAAACCAAGAGATCTGACATTTAGAGGATTTTTATTTACATTATTTTTCTTCTTCAGGTTCAATCATTTCTATTGATCTAGTCTGAAGTTCATTCTGTAATTTCTAATCTGTTAATTCATTCAGAGATTGTTAACATTTCAGATACTGTATTATCCGTTCCATTCCATTTCAGTCTTTTAAAAAACCTTAGATTTCCCATTTGTTTATGTTACACAATTCTTTTGCTTTACATTGTTGAGTTGATTGAAACAGTCTCTGCTAAAACCACCTCTGGATCACTTGAGGTCAGTTTCCATTGATTAGGATGATGGCTTCCTAGACATTTTGGTTTATATCCTAGACATTGTGATTAATATTGACATTCTAGATACTGTCAAATTCTTCCCAATAGCATTGATTCCTTTTTTTAAAAAGCAATTAACTTAATTGTACTTAAACTCTTAAGTTATAACGTTGTAACCATTTCACACATACCCATACACACACTTCACTGGACAGCAGCTGCAATCGCTGTTCAGTTTTTTAAGCAATCATCTTCTTTGAGGGTGCTCCACACATGTATACTTCAGTCAGCAGTTGCTGAGATTAGAGCAGTTATACTCAGTACTTGGGCTATCACATAGGTCCTTTCTAGAATTCCTTTCCTCACTTTCCAGTCATATGATCGATCACTCTGAATTCTGTCTGCTTTTCTTTAAGTAAAATGGAAGGTGTTTATCCTAGTTTTAAGCATCCCCTCATGTCACCAACCTGGGTGCCTTCAGGCTATAAGACACAGAAGTAGAAACTTGTTCAGTCTTATTCTTGTCTTCAAAGTGTAGACCTCACTACAGTTTCTGCCTACTTTTTGTCACTCTGAAGTGCCTTCTGGTAGTTAAAAAATGTTTTTCAAGCTTATAATTTTTATCTACAGGACACTTACCCTGAGAGGAGCTACACAGCTATTACATTTTATCAGCAGTTCTACAAAGTTTTAGTCTCAAGATTAATCTACATAAAAAAATTAAGGACTGTACAGAGCTATTGTGTGTATGGGTTATAGTTATCAATATATTAGAAATTAAGTTAGACATTTAACAAATATTAATTCATAGTGCTTACGAATCAGGTTGCTATCCTCAGGGTCAGTAGTTCGAAACTACCAGCTGTTCCGTGGGAGAAAGATGAGGTTTCAGCTCCCGTAAAGATTTATAGTCTCGGAAACTCTGTGCAGGGTCACTATGAGTCAGAACCAACTTCATGGCACATAACAACAACAATTCATTTAAAGCCAACAGTAAACCCATTATATATGAACACACACAAAAAACGTTTTTTTTCCTAGAAAGTAATGGTTTTTCTTAAAAAAAAGAAAAAATGACAAGAGTGATGTGATTTTACATTTTTGGTAAGCTCCTTAAAGATCCGGCTTAAATATATGCAGCTGCTGGATCTTATATCTGCCTCCGCATTCAGTCTGTGGCCATAAATTGCTTTTGTTAAAGTATATGTATGTGTTGCTTAATGTCCATTATGTTGTTGTTGTTACGTGTCATCAAGTCAGTTCTGACTCATAGCGACCCTGTGTAGGGTTTCCAAGGAGCAGCTGGTAGATTTGAACTATTTATGGTCTGCAGTCCAGTGCTGGTCCTATATACGTTCTGTGAAATAGGATGTTGTGTGATTTGGTCATTGTGCTAACTTTGTGTCCTCAGGCTTGGGACTTTTGAGTGCACTGGCCGGGAGGCTGCTCTGGCTCCTGATGCCACAGTTAAACATTTGACTGGGTCCTGCCTTTTTTGTTAGGCCAGCTTCAGGGAAGGACAAGTTGCCAGTGAGAATCTGCCTAGGGACAGCACAGTGAGGGCCAAGGAGGTTGAGGATGCTTGAGTCAGAGCCAGGATACATACCTTTCCACCAATGCCCACGGGGACCACATTGGGCAAAACGTGGGGACTAGATCCACAGAGTAAAGGAGCCAAGGAAGCTGAGGTTGGAGTTTGGGCCTGGGCTTCCATCACCACAGACTAAGCTTCTGGGTCATGTGCAGCAGTTGAGTAGATCTCAAGGCAAAAGTATGGTGTCCTGGTACCCAAAACAGCTGGTTGACACAGCCCACAGATGTTTCCTACATTGCCAGAAAGGACTCTAGGCAGAACACACCTGTTCACGGTACTAGGCCTTGTCAAAGGGAAAACCCTGTAGACACAATGAAAGACTTGCAGCAATCTCCTGAGTCCCTTGGACCATGGTGTGGGAACCACTTCCTTACACTATTTTTTTTGTTGTTGTTGTTGTTTTTTAAAGCCTATGAGGTAATAGAGCAATTGCTATGAGCTCCATTTTATTGATGGAGAGTCATAGGCACAAAGATGGCAGGAAAGGTACAGTCAGCTAGCTCTTAAATGGTGCTGCTACTACTTCAAGTTTGACTTTAATCAGTGCCCCTGTGTAAACCTCTATGTACAACTTTCAATATATATAGTGATGACAGATTTCTGCTAACATACCGACCCAAATCAACTTCATAAAATGAAGCAAATTCAGATGTTAGAAAAACTAATATATATATGCTTGTTTAAATGTTTTGCATAAAAATCCTCTGATATTTTAAGGCAACATAACCGTATTTTACCTCATCAATAACTCCAATTCATTGCAGTGTTACAAGAACATTGTCTAATGCAACCTACTTTGCAAATTATTATCTAGGTTTCATATATAGCCTTTGCTTATAATTTCTTTGATAAGCAATTTTGTTTTCTATAGCAGATGAAACAGCCAATGCATAAGAAAGATCTTAGAACTTACATTTGAGAGTTTTTGGTGAGAACATTCATATGTGAGAGACGCTGCAATAAAATTTATCATTTTGTTAGGTTTACAAAAACTAGAGCCAAAATATGAGGTTGAATAAAAAATTATCCATACTATGGCTGTAGAATTTATTTTAATCAACTTTTAGAAAAGACAAATATATTATTTTTCAACACAATCTCCTTGCTTTTCAACTCACTTTGTTCATCTGCCAACAAGCTTCTGTATTCCCTTATTAAAAAATGTTGTAGGTTGAGCTGCAAGCCACTGTCTTCACTTCTTCATTAGAGGTGAAACCTTCAGCCTCAAAGGGCTGTTTTCAGGGGACCAATGGAGCAAGATCATTGAGGATGCTTTAACATCTCAAAAGGAAGTTTTTGCAGTGTCAACAGTTTGGGCAGAGGTGCGTGGATGTGCACCATCATGCAAGATCACAAAGTCCTTAGATAGTATCTAGTTCTTAGATAGTCCTCTGCATTTAAACTGAAGTTTAGGCTTCAACTCTTCAGTGAGGATCTCACTGTAACGAGCACTATTGATTGTTGAACCTTTTTCCTTGTAGTGTTCCAATACTAGCCCTTGAGAATCCCAGAAAACTACAAGTATCGATTTTCCAGCTGATGCTTGACTTTGGAACGTTTTCTTGGTTGGCGATTGAGGATGTTTCCATTCCATACTCTGCCATTTACTCTCGGGCTTGTAGTGACGCATCTATGTCTCATCATGAGTAATGCTTTTTTTAAGGAAACTTTTACTTTCCTTCGAGTATCGGTTCAAATTTTGTTTGCAGATATTCATACACATCTGTTTATGCTCTCCTGTGAGTTGTTTCAGTGCCCATCTCACACAAACTTTTCGAAACCCACGTCTGTCATGGATTATTTCCTAGGCAGAGCCATGGCTGATTTGCAAATGATTTGTCACATAATCCACTGTCACTCATCTATTCCACAGATTCATTTCACGCACATGCTCAATGTTGTCATCAGCCATGGACATGGACATGCATTTTAATATAACCGGAGTGCAAATTAATTATTGACTCACCTCGTACAAGAATGCCATATTTTAAAAAGCTTTATCTTTTATTAAAGTCATGTTTATAATAGGTTTGATACTTGAGACGACAAAAACCTTATTTGCTTTCTAGACTACAATAACTGTCGATTAGCTCAAGTGAAGAAAGATGAACAACTTTATATTGGTAACCATGGTTGTCTAACTCAAACCTAGCTTGATATTCTTCATCTATGAATGTTATTTATTTTTAAAAATCAACCATATTAGTCTAAATTCTTAGCATTAGGTAGTCAGAGCAATGTTCTGAATGAAATAGCTCTTCACTGGCTCAGGCTGTAAGAATCTTCAACAGTAAAAGAGTGAAAGGACTACGACGTATGTTTCTGTAGGAAAATGGTCTTAGATGTTTTCTCTGTAGGTCCTACCACTGTGACTTTATGATTGATTAAAGGAGGCAGGAAAGTTATCAGAGGCATGTGTATAGCTTTTTTGAGCTTCTTACTGATGGTTATAAATATAAAGGTAAAAGCAGAAATACTCAAAGGACCACATAATAACACAAGCCCTGATACAATGATTTTTAACTCTTTAATGATATTACCACATTATTGTGTGAAACATGACATTTGATAACCTAGAGAATGTTTGTAGAAATCATTTTATCCAGAAAAAGTGATCTTATCGCTGACTGTACTTACTGTAAAACCTTCTACGCAGAGTCATATGATGCCTGAATCCTATGATTAACCCAAACAAAATTTCCAGAGCTTTTTTAAAAAGCTCCCCAAGAATGGAAGAACAAAGCAGATGGGAGAACAATTAGACAGGTCTCAATGGGCTAAGTGAGACAGAGGTAAATAATGATAATATGCACAACTTGAGAACAACAGAGTTCTGCGATACAGAGAGCGAGCCATGGTTGGAATGTAGAAAAGGGGGGAACAATATTAAGATGCTTGGCTGTCTTTTGAATCTTG